GTGACCAAGTAGTCTCAAATTGTTTCACCTTATTATTCAAGACACTCAACATATTCTTGTGTACCATAATCCCACAACACCTTATGTTTAGTATAAGCGAGCAAAACAGTGGGCTTTTTCTATGCTCCCGCAATAGTGCATTTAGCTGCTAAGAAAAAGGAAACTAGCCTTTGCTCACTGCGGAATAGGGCAGGAAAGGGCTCATTCAAGTTTCAATACTATAAGAGAGACGCTACGCACACTGCGTAATGAAGGCCCCTCCGTGCCAGAACTAATGGTACGTACCCCCAATGCTGTCTCCAAAGAATAAGAAGAGTCGACTGGCAGTATCCAAAACCATTGGACAAACCACAAAAGTTGTGGGATAGTGTTCTGTGGACTGAGCATATTGGGGCAGTTGTTCAACGCTCTTCTGAAGAATATGGTGAAGTAAGGAAAAAACCTTATTCCATATCCTCTGATACGAGGGCACTCCCACCATATATGATACAGGTATATGGTACCCATCATGGATCAACCAGGGAAACACCATGGGGGAGAGCCATCATATATCCTAGCTAGGCAGATTGGGAATAGGTATCATCGCATAATAACTTTTGCCTCAATAAGGGTCAGTCCACACCACAAAAAAACGCACTCTGGGTGCAATCCGGATAAGTTTTTGCTTATAGTTCACACCACACTCTGTTCCGGTGCAGTTTATGTTCCAATACAGTTCTGTGCAGAAAAAAACTGCAGCATATTCTCCTTTTTTTATTTTTTTGCATCGGAAACTGACTGGAACTGACTGCACTGGTGTGAACTAGGGCCATTGGAGTACATGAAAAACACTGTGCATGCATTATTGATGCAGAAAAAAATTTACTGTACTGCATCTAGTGTGAACTAGCCCTAAAGGATATATTAACAATACCTCAGAAGGCAGCATAAAAATGGGTGTGCCGCGTCTCCAAAGTCGTGTCAGAGGATAAGTCCCCATCCCAGTCTACCATATACAGTATCTCACAGAAGTGAGTACACCCCTCACATTTTTGTAAATATTTATTATATCTTTTCATGTGACAACACTGAAGAAATGACACTTTGCTGCAATGTGACGTAGTGAGTGTACAGATTATATAACAGTGTAAATTTGCTGTCCCCTCAAAATAACTCAACACACAGCCATTAATGTCTAAACTGCTGGCAACAAAAGTGAGTTTGTTTCTTCACTATAGCTCACAGAATTGACTTACACTTTCCCCAGAGCTAAAAGAAACCGTTTCTTTCATCTCGGGAAAGAAACTAAAAGGAAACGTTTCTTTTAGCTGGGGGGGAAGTAAAAGCTGATTCTCTGAGCTATAGTAAAAAAAAAAAAAAAAAAAAACCCGGTAATTACATTTAAATATAGTGACAGCCAGTCACTGTATACACTGCTCCTCTCCTGCCTTTCTCAGCTGTCCCCTCCCCCCCCCCCCCACATCTGCAGTACACACAGTCCCCTGTATTGGCACCTGTAGCAGCAAAATTTTTTTTCTATCAGAATGCCGATAGGGCTATTTTCGGCCGACATGTTTTGGTGCATCCCTAATAAATAAATATAATTGCTCGGCCATGGAAACCCATTCCATGAAGCTCTCTATGCTTTGTTTTTGTGCTAATCTGAAGACCACATGAAGTTTGGAGGTCTGTAGCTACTGACTGCAGACAGTTGGAAACGTCTGCGCACTTCAGCACGCGCTGACTTCGCTCTGTCATTCTTTGTGGCTGAGTTGCTGGCCAGTTGCATCCACTTTGTTATAATACCACTAACAGTTGACCATGGGATATTTAGTAGCAAGGAAATTTCATGGATGGACTTACTGCACAGATGGCAACCTATCATGGTACCACGGTACGATTTGAATGCACTGAGCTCCTGAGAGCGACCCATTCTTTCACAAATGTGTGTAGCAGCAGTCTGCATGCCTTGTTGCTTGATTTTATACACCTGTGGCCATGGAGGTGATTGGAACACCTGAATCAATCCAATGATATGGAGGGGTGTCCCAATACTTTTGGCATTAGTGTGTGTGTGTTTGGTTTATTTATTTATTTTCTCACATCACATCCAAGATGGCTTGGTTTGTTAATACATATGTTAAATTAACATATTTTATGGGAAGGTTTGTTGAAATAAATGGTCTTGGCGACTTGATCTCTTTATTATTATTATTATTATTAGTATTATTCAAGATTTAGGCTACGTTCACACTAGCCTTGTTAGCAAGCGGCAGACAGGTGTTTGGGAAGCGTTTTTACCGTTTCCCAAACGCCTGGGAAAATTGTGCACCTGGTGCTGTTCAAACGGGAGCGTTAGCATTGCGTTGCGGCAAAACTGACGCCTCTGGTCGAGTCAGGAGGAGTTGAAGCCTCCTAATCAAGTCTATGGGGCCGCTCCGCAAACGCCCGGCAGGCGTTTGCAACACGGTTGCGACGCGGTTGCTGGGCGTTTGCGGAGCGTTAACGCCATTCAAACTTCATTATAGGCGTTTGTGGGCCGTTTTTAACACTTAGCAACCGCCGCTAAACCGCGCATGCGGCGTTTGCGGAGTGTTAAAAACGCCGGACCAACGCTTGTCAAACGCTATAAAGGCGTTTGGCAAGAGTTGGAAAAAGTCAAGTGTGAACGAACGAGCCCTTATATAGCGCCAACAGTTTGCTCAGCGCTTTACAATATAACGGGAGACCATACAGCAACAATACAGTTCAATACAAGAGGGTTAGGAGGGCCCTACAAGGTTTGATCTAGTTCAGTGCCAGGGTTAGTGTTTGGGTCAGGGTCAAAGGTTAAGGTCAAAAGGTCAGGGTCAAAGGTCAGAATTTCAAAAAAAATATTGGTATCCGTGCCAGTGTGTTTTAGGTAAAAAAAAAAAAAAAGACAAAAACAAAATGCGCACTATTGTTTCTGGACTGTACTACAGGTACAAACAACAAATAATATACACATATATGGTATCGCTGCGATCGTCAAGAGCTGGAGAATTTATTTTGGATTGTTCTTTGGTGGTAGGTTATGGTAGTAACAAGAAACACACAGCTAAATTAAAAAATTTTTTTTTTTTTTTTTTTTTACTATTTTGGGCCAGTTTTCCTTTGATAATAAAAAGCAGGAGATATCCATTACCATTTACCACCAAATGAAAGCCCAATTTGTCCTGGAAAAAAAACAAGGTATAATTCACCTGGATGTACAAAGTAGTTGTGATGATATGTACGGTTTTACTAACACGTGTCAACGCTGCAAAATTGTGCTTAGGCATTTAGATTTGTTTTACCCTTAGGTGTGAAGGGGTTAAAAGAGGAAAGTGTTGAGGGAGGTTTAGTATAAGGTATGCTAAGTGGAATAGATGTCTGTGCAGTGGAGATGCCCCTACGAATTGCATCAATCTTGTTTTTGAAATGATTTGCAATCTCGTAAGCAGTGAGTGAGGTGCTGGGTGGAGGAGGAGAAAGTAGAGAGTTGAAAGTAGAGAAGAGACGACGAGAACTGGATGACAAGCTATTGATGAGAGTGACAAAGTAGGCTTGTTTGGCAGCATGGAGGGAGGAATTGTATGTTAAGAAAGCAGATTTATATAGGGTGAATGCTTGCTGAGATTTGGTTTTACTCCACAATCGCTCCAGTGCACGGCTATGTCGCTTAAGATTTCTGGTGTCATCAGTCTACCACGATTGTAATGCTCGGGGCCTGATACTTTGTGTAGTTAGGTGAGCAAGCGAGTCTAATGCGGATGAAAGTGAACTGTTGTAGACAGCAGTGGCCAGGTCAGGGCAGGATAGGGGAGAGATTCTGTCATAGAGGCAGTCAGTTGCACAGTGTTAAAGAGAAGGGTTCAAGTTGTGAAGGTTTCTGCGGGTAATTGTTTGCTGTTTGGAAGAATAGGTGTTTGAAAACGAGGACACTGTGAAGGTGATGAGGTTGTGATCAGAGAGAGTAAAGGGGTGTTTGTGAGGTTGTAGGGAGTGCAAAGATGGGAGAAAACAAGGTCGAATGTATTTCCATCAGAGTGAGTGGAGGACTGTATCCATTGTGTTAACGCAAAAGATGAGGTTAGGTTGAAGAGTTGGGATATAGCCGGGTTGTTCACATCAATGGGGATGTTAAAGTCTACAAGAATGATAGTGGGTATTTCAGAGGAGAGAAAGTAGGGTATCCAGGAAGAGAAGTCCTCAAGAAAGCGAGACACTGGTCCAGGAGGCCGATAGATCACTGCAATCCTCAGAGAAATGGGTGAAAACAGCCAAATGCAGCGAGTCTTGAAAGAAGAGGAGGATAGAGAGGGAGGGTTATGGCGGACTTGAAAGATGCTCAGTGGGGATAGAAGAAAACCAACTCCACCATCTTTTGGACCACTGGGTCTGGGTGAGTGGGTCCAGATGAGGCCTCCATAAGAAAGTGCTGTGGAAGAAGCAGAATCTGCTGCTTGAAGCCAGGTTTCTGTAATTGCTAGTAAGTTAAGGGAGCTGGAGACAAAAAGGTCATGGACAGAGGTGAGCTTATTACAGACAGTGGGCATTCCAGAATGCACATGAAAAAGGGAGGGTGGTTTTTAGGAGCACGGGGATTGATATTAAAATTAGTGGATTGCAGCTATTCCTGGAGGAAGGAGGGTGCCTGGTGTGGGGGTGAGATACTGGAGGACCAGGGTTTGGGGAGGTTAGGAGGAGGAGGGTGAGGAAAGTAAGGTGGGAGCAGGATGTATATGAGTGCACATGCCTTCCTGTCCTGGTGTTTGGTTCAGCAGGTAAATAAAGTATCAGCAGGAGGTGATTAGAGCAGTAGTAGGGAGATGGTAAGATTTTTTTTTTCTTTTTTTTTTTTCTTAATAGATGACCACATTTTTCTATGATGGAAAAAATTTACATCATGAGTTAGGCTTGAACAATTAACCAGTAACACGATCATTTAACACTTACAGAATTTACTGGAAACACTGTATGGCTGCAGATACTAATATTAACCCTGACTTTCTTTTTAGATTGTATAACGGGCGAACAAAAGGCCGACAGTTTGGAACAAAGTGCAGTTCAGGGGACCGAATTGGTTGTGGTATAGAACCAAGCTCTTTTCATGTCCAAACTGCTCAAATTTTCTTCACGAAGAATGGGAAAAGGGTAAGAAAGAGAGCCCAGTGTATACTTTTTTTTTTTTTTTTTTACATTTTGTGATGACCGTTTGTTGCAGTGTTCTAAATCTGTCTTATAGGTTGGCAGCACTGTGATGCCATTATCTCCTGATGGTCTTTTCCCAGCAGTGGGCATGCATTCTCTAGGGGAGGAAGTTCGTCTTCATCTAAACGCAGAGCTTAGTGAGGACGATGACAGCATCATGATGGTGGACAGTTACGAGGATGAATGGGGCAGGCTGCATGATGTTAGAGTATCTGGCACTGTAAGGCCCTTGTGTTACCTGTAATGACTTCTGCTGTAATTGCATCAGTGCATCTTGGCCTCTCACCTCCATTTGTTCTTGTCTGCAGCTCCTGGAGTATGTTGGAAAGGGTAAAAGTATTATAGATGTGGGTCTGGCCCAGGCTCGGCGCTCTCTTAGCACTCGCAGTCATTACTTTGAAGTGGAGATTGTGGACCCAGGAGAAAAGTGTTATATAGCTTTGGGGCTTGCAAGAAAGGTATGGCTCATTCTGTTGTGGATTTCAAGTGCAACTATCACTTGTACTTTTTTTTTTCTTTGTTGTTTTCTGAGTGACTCCACTTAAAAGGTTCTCTGTTTTAGGTGGGATAGGGTCTGTAGTGGAACCCACAGTTTGGACCCTGTTGGGTATTTTCTGTAGCAGTATATAGGATTTAAGTGCAACTGCAGTCAGTCAGCTAAATGTGCTTCCCCCACTAAGTGAATTTGTTGCAACAATGTAAGTGTTGCAAATAAAAACTACTTGAATTTGTTGCACATGTAGGTACTAACAATAAAAATGTAGGTTTCCATGAATTTTGTGCAAGGCTTCACATTGCATACACGTTGCCAGAAAGGTGACACAAATGTCTTGTTGAATAGCTCCCTTTTTATGCCCTATTCAAAATGTTTTATAGTATGTTTAATCACTTGCCCTCCTGAGCATTTACCCCCCTTCCTGAGGCATTTTTTTTTTTTTTTTTTTTTGCTGTTTGGCACTGCACTATTTCAACTGGTAATTGTGCAGTCGTGCAATGCTGTACCCAAACTAAATTTATGTCCTTTTTTCACACAAATAAAGCTTTCTTTTGGTGGTATTTTATCACCTCTTCGGTTTTTATGTTTTGCACTATAAACAAAAAAAGGCCGAAAATTTTGAAAACGATATTTTTTTTCACTTTTGGTTATAAAATATATCCAATAAACCCAGTCATAAATTTAGGCTAAAATGTATTCTGCTACATGTCTTTGGTAAAAAAAAAAATCTCATTACGTGTATATTGGTTTGTGTGAAAGTTATAGTTATATATGGTATATATATTGGAATTTACGTAGCTTTTACTTTGACTACCTATCACAGTTCTTGAGGTGCTAAAATGCCAGGGCAATACAACCCCCCCCCCCCCCCCCCCCACAATTTTTGTTTTCTTTCCTCATCTTCCAAAAACGTGGCAACAAATTAGATCTGCAAAACACTCACCATGCCTCTTAGCAAATACCTTGGAGTGTCTACTTTCCAAAAAGGGGTCATTTGGAGGGGTTGCTTTTTACTATCCTGGCATTTCAGGGACAACACTAGAAGCTTATGCCATACATCACCCACTTGAAGACCAAGCCTTTTCTGACACTTTGTTCACATGAAAAAAAGTTTTTTTGCTAAATTACTTTGAACCCCCAAACATTATATATATATATATTTTTTTTTTTTAAAGCAGAGGCCCTAGAGAATAAAATGGTGGGTGTTGAAATTTTTACATCACACAGTATTTGCACAGCAATTTTTTTTTTTTCTAAAGCAAATCTTTTGGGAAAAATACACTTTTTAGAATTTTTATGCACAAACACACAATGTATTTCCCAATTGTTTGCCAAAATATAAAAGATGCTATGCTGAGTAAATAGATACCAAACTTGGCATGCTTTAAAATTGCGCATGCCTGTGCAATGGCAACAAAGTACACACGTTTTCTATTATCGATAGGCAACCCTTTAAAAGCCTTTACAGTTCACCAATTTATATTTACACAGGAGGTCTAGTGCTAAAATTACTTCCCTCGATCTGACGTTCGTGGCGATACCTCACATGCATGGTGCAACTAATGTTTGCATACTGGCACAGGGTCAACGCTTGTGCATGCAAGTTATTTTGATTTTTGTAATTATTTTTACACTGTCCCTTCCATTTCTTTTTTTTTTTTTCACTTTTAATGCTAGGCAGTGGGGGGGGGGGGGGGGGGGATTGGAATGTCCATTCCCGCTACTCGTAAAAACAATTCAGCAGCTAATTGGCCACTAGGATTGTTTTTACATGGAAGTTGACCGCCAGCTGAAAAAAAACGGTACAAGAATGATGCCTGTAGCTGCAGGCATCATCCCGGTATTACCACTCAAAGTCCAGCAATGTTCCAGTACTTTGCTGGTCCATGTTAGGCATATATGTAACCGCAGAGAACATGGGCATACAATGAATCATGTCTGTGGATCAACATGATTGCAATTCATTCTTTTCTGTAATACCCATGTTGAGGGTTAGGCCCAAAAGAGTTTTAAATTCAGAAACCGTGATAGGTTTCCATGTGAATTGCCTGGCAAGAGCTGAATTTGGGTGGCCGGTGATGTATTGTGCGTATAAATTGCCTTGGCCCACAATCAATTGATACAAATCTTCTGTGAAAAACAGCGAACGGGGCTGATCTTGCTAACTCTGCATTTTTGTGGACACTATACAAAGGAGGCACTAGTATAGTTTCTGTTCATGAACAATATATTGATCTGTACAAACACTATACTAGTAATGGCGGTGATCAGCGACCTATAGCGTGAGTGTGATAGTGTGCGGACAATCTAACGTTAGCTCTGACCCTGACTGGGAGGGACGCTTACTGACCCTGACGCTATCTGATGTCACTGGTGGCAGGAATATAGTGATCAGTGAAAAATTCTATATACTGACACTGTACTAATGGCACTGGCTGGGTGACAGGGTGATTAAAGGGTAATAGTAGAGATCAAAGGGTTAAATGTGCTAATCTAACGCTTGCGTGTAGTGGTGCTCTTCTCTCCCTGGATCGACGAGTGGGGGGCAACGGGGGGCGCAGGTGTGTTCACACCACAAAATAGGAAGCGATGCACGATTGCGTTGCTTTGCCAAGAGCTGCTGCTCGTCTGCAAAATTCCAGCTAAGCGTTTGGCAAGTAGTTAAAAAAAAATAAAAATAAATAAATAATATAAAAATATAATATATATAATACGCTCAATATGGTATTTGTTTCACATTTTTATTATTTTTTTAATACTTTTATCAGAATAGTAAAATGTTATCATAGTAACATTGTACTACTGTGGGGGGTGATCAGGGATTTTTTTTTTTTTTTTTCTTTTTTTTTTTTTTTTTTTTTTACACTTTGCTTTGCAGGAGAAATAAAGATCATTTCTCCTGCAATGCAAAGCTTACTGTCTGACCCTAACTCATTCATGAACTGTCATGAATGAGTTAAGTTTTGGCTGGAGCTGGTCACATGGCGCAGTGTGTTGTGATTGGCCCCATGTAGCATATGACAGCTGTGGGCCAATCACAGCTCGCTAAGAAGAGAAGCAGATCTGTTATGAATGAGATTGATTCATAACCGCTTTGCTTACACAGTGATCATGTGATCACCGAGTCCCGTTCACCGGGATCTTCATTCCGCTGTGCACGTTGGACACAGCAGTCGCGGGGAAGGGTGCGTGGCACCCCCTTGTGTTAGTACAGCCAGAGCGACATACGGGTACGTTGCTTTGCCTGTAGCTGCCGCCTGGCCACAGTACATTACGGGCAGGCAGGAAATGGTTAACCTAAATTAAACCAGTGCTGATGTACAGGCTTTTGGCAGTGCCAACAAGTACAAAGCACTTCCCTTTGCATGGTGTATGGGTTTCTGCATCCTGAAGGAAGGCAGCAAGTCTCTCACCACTGCCTATAGCTCCTTTACACCCTGTTCCAAATTATTATGCAAGTGATATTTTTCTTCTTTACCTAAATAATTGATGTAAATAACAGTCAGCATAATTCTCACATTATCAACTATTAAGAGTACAAATTTTATTGAACAAACCTCCTAATAACAGTATTTTTTTTAAACATAAAACACTTCCAATGCACTGTTCCAAATGATTACACACAGTAAGTTTCAAAACACTTTATAGGTTGCAAAGAACTGAAAATTGTCATTTGTTGTTTTTGCAGCATATTTACTGAAATCAAAAGCTATTTCAATCAAACTTTTAACAACATTTTAACTTTTTAAACATTTTAACAAGTCACGTTACATTTTAACATAGGACCCCTTATTTGATAGCAGCTTCACAAGTCTTGCATCCATTGAACTTGTGAGTTTTTGGACAGTTTCTGCTTGAATTTGTTTGCAAGATGTCAGAATAGCCTCCCAGAGCTGCTGTTTGGATGTAAACTGCCTCCCACCCTCATAGATCTTTTGCTTGAGGATGCTCCAAAGATTCTCAGTAGGATTTAGGTCGGGATGATGGAGGCCACACCATGACTTTCTCTCCTTTTTATCCCCATAGCAGCTATTGATGCAGAGGTATTATTTTGCAGCATGAGATGGTGCATTGTCATGCATAAAGATGACTTTTTATTACGAAAAGCATAGTTCTTCCTTCTGTACCAGGGAAGAAAGTGGTTAGTCATAAACTCCACATACTTTGCAGAGGTCATCTTTACACCTTCGGGGACCCTAAAGGGGCAGACCAGCTCTGTTCCCATGATTCCGGCCCAAAACATGACTTCACTACCGCCTTGCTGACATCGCAGCCTTGTTGGAACAGGGTGGCCGTCCACAAACCATCCACTACTCTATCCATCTGGACCATCCAGGGTTGCACGGCACTCATCAGTGAACAGAACTGTTTGAAAATTAGTCTTCATGTATTTTTCTGCCCAATGCAGCCGTTTCTGATTGTGAGCATTGGTTAGTGGTAGCCGAATAGAAGGTTTATGCACAGTTGCAAGACTCTGGAGGACTCTACACCTTGATGTCCGTGGGACTCCAGAGGCACCAGCAGCTTCAAATATCTGTTTGCTGCTATGTAATGGTATTTTAGCAGCTGCTCTCTTGATCCGATGCATGGATCTGGCAGAAAACTTCCTCAATGTGCCTTTATCTGCACGAACCCGTCTGTGCTCTGAATCAGCCACAAATCTCTTAATAGTGCGATGATCACGCTTAAGTTTTCGTGAAATATCTAATGTTTTCATACCTTGTCCAAGGCATTGAACTATTTCACTCTTTTCGGCAGCAGAGAAATCCTTTTTTTTTTCTTCCCCATATTGCTTGAAAATGGTGCTCTGCTTAATAATGTGGAACACCCTCCTTTAGTAGTGTTTCCTTAAATTGGGCTCATCTGCCAATCTAATTATCACAGGTGTCCGAGATTGTTTTCAGTGTTCAAAAGAGCCCTGACACACAATGCCATCCATGAGTTACACTGAAAAACAAAATATTTCATCTTTGTGACACTTAAATAGAATTTGCATAATAATTTGGAACAGGGTGTAATTGAGCGCTCCACTTTTTGTTTTAAAAATAAAAAGGGGGTGGGGGGGATTATCTTTGCTTTTGTTCTCTTTCAGGACCAAATTTTACATTTAATGCAGTTCAATAAAATTATGTACTATTTTTTCCTCCTATAGGATTACCCAAAGAACAGACACCCAGGCTGGAGTCGTGGTTCTGTGGCTTATCACGCAGGTAAAAATATTTTGTCATGAAATAAAAGCTGATGTCAGTACACAGAGCAGCTATTTTTTTTTTTTTTTTTAAGCTTAACCACTTGCCCTCCTGAGGATTTACCCCCCTTAATGACCAGGCCTCTTTTTGCTACTCGGCGCTGCACTAATTCAACTGATAATTGCGCGGTCATGCAATGCTGCACCCAAACGAAATTTACGTCCTTTTTTTCACACAAATAGAGCTTTCTTTCGGTGGTATTTGATCGCCTGTGCGCTTTAATTTTTTCCGCTATAAAAAAAAAAGCTGACAATTTTGAGGAAAAAAAAAACAATATTTTGGACTTTTTGCTATAAAACATGTACAGTAAAAAAAATGTAAAAATCAAACTTCGTGATAAATTTCGGCCAAAATGCATTCTGCGACATGTCTTTGCTAAAAAAAAAAAAAAAAAAAAACCCAATACGTGTAAATTAATTGGTTTACGTGAAAGTTATAGCGTTTACAAATGGTGGTAAAAGATACTGGGATTTTTAATTTTTTTTTTTCTACTAATAATGGCGGCGATCAGTGACTTATGGCGGTGATCAGCGACTTATGGCGGGACTGCAGCGGACATTCTGACACTGGGGGGGAACTGACTTGGTGTCACTGACATCCCCAGTGACACCAATACAGTGATCAGTGCAAAAAAACTGACGCTGTACTAATGGCACTGGGGAGGAAGGGGTTAACTTTTTTTTACTGAAAGGGTTACTGTGTGAGGGGAGTGTTACTAGGGGTCGGGGGTGTGTACTGCTTTGGGGGGGAGGGACAGCTGATCGGGAGAGATCAACTCCTCTCTCCTGCTCAGCATGTCAGGAGCTGTCAGGAAACTGACAGAGAGCAGAGCTACTGCAGCCCTGCTCTCTGTCAGTGATTGCTGCTAATCGGCGGCACACAGCCAGTAACGACCGGCTGTGACCTGGCGACTGAAATCTGCGGCCGTGATCAGCGGGGACAGGTAGGGCGGTGGCATGCCTCGCGCGCGCCCCCTACCTGTTTTGCAAACGCACGTTTTAAAACGTGGTTTTGCCCAGCCGTGCCGCTCTGCCAACGTATTTCTACAGTGGCTGGGCGGCATGTGGTTAGTCATCTGCCATAAATCTTCTGGGAGTGGAAGGGGGTCAAGGCATCAGTGCCACTCCATTTATTTTGTCTTATGAAAATTAGATTCCATGGGAGTGCATGATGCCATCATTTGACTATGCAATGGCTTTGCCAGCTGCAGAGAGCTGGTAAATATTTGGCCATATGAGTTTTGAGAGATATTTGAACCACCAGGTATATAACTTAATAAAAATAGTTCCAGGTCTTCGTTGATTAACTTGTGTATTTGTTCCTGTGGTTAACTAAACTTAGGCTTGTGAGTTCAAGTGTAACTAACGGCAAAACTTTTTTTTTTTTTTTTTTTTTTTAAGTTTTGGTTAAAGTGGAGAGGGATTAGAACACTTGTTTATTAAATATTGTTATCTGTGCCCCCCCCTTAGGGAGATTCAACCTATTTGTCCTGTTGATTGTTCTCAACTTTTTGGGTTGTCCCCAGAACATTAATAGATGGGAAATCTTCCATTGGGGACACTAGTCCTGGTAACACTCAGGGATTCCCTCACTTTGGAGAGTTTTCCTCTCTCTTCCTGTTTTAGCTATGTGACAAGAAGTGAAGATCCCTAGAAATCTCCCTAATGGGACACAGATGGCAAAATAACTGACAGGGTTATACCCTCCCTTACTGTATCTAAACTGGAAAAAATGTTTTACCTTTTTAGTTCAAAAAGTTTTCTGGCAGAGATGCAGAACCTAGGTGCTTTCATTTCATTTGAGGAATGGCTGTATGCTGAATTGTTCAAAACACAATAAGAAAATACATGGGAGTGTCCATTTACATGTGCAGAGAACATGAGATTTTTATGCATTGCTTTCCATACAGATGATGGAAAAATATTTCATGGAAGTGGCGTTGGTGATCCTTTTGGGCCTCGTTGTTACAAAGGTGATATCATGGGATGTGGAATTATGTTTCCAAGGGGGACTATATCCTGGACAGTGAAGGTATGGATCAGCTTGGTTCCCCTAGTGAATTGTCTTGTTAGCTGTTTTGTATTGGGGAATATGTAACACATTCCTCTATTCTTACCTGCCTAGGAGAAAGTGATGACAGTAGTGACATGAAGGAACTCAGGCTACAGCCACGTGGTGTTCGGAATGTCATGTATCTCTGGAGAGAACAGCAGCAGGAAGAGGACGGGGAAGAAGAGGAGGAGGAGGAAGAGGAGGACATTGAGAGGGATCATGAGGGCAGGAAAGTGGTGGTAAGTGATGGCTTATGATTTGATGGGGAAATACTTTCTACATGGTGTTCCAAAAGACACCAGTTAGTTGTAGTTCTTTTTTGCCCCCAGCCCATCTTCCAATTTCATACTCAGCCGTCACAGATCAAGTTATCAGCTGTGCAGCTTGTCAGCACCACACAATCGCTTGTCAGAGCAAAGGTGCAGTTGCATTCTAAAACAACCCTGTCACCACCCAACAAATAAGTTCCTTAACAAATCCAATAAGTAAAAATGGACACTGATTACTTTTACACATATTGGCTTTACCCAGCCAAGACAGTTGTTTGTTGGGGTGTACACAGTGAAGCTGCTCCCCCATGCCCTAATGTTACAAGTGCTGCAGGCCTGGGAAGTATCACCAATCTCCAGCGATAATACAGAGTCTGCCTGTAGGAGCATGGATACACCTCAGTTCAGTACGGAAGACTAGTCATGTGAACGTTGCTGGTCATATCACTGCTGTTTACTAAAAAGGTGGATTGTAGTCTATGTAACGCCACAATTAGTGCAGAGTTCACAGAAGTGACATTTCTGCAGCTGCTGGGTCTGCTAGGGGCACAATCGTCAGCCTGTCAGCAGCAAAGCCTATAGAAGCAGGAACTTTGCGAAATTCAAGGCATGCACACAACAATGACAGTGCAGCATGTTGCTGTCTATATGTGTCTGGGAACCTTCTCTTTAACGAAACTAAGTGGCAGCCATTGCTGAATTCTTGTTCCTAAGTTTCAGGTTATATAGCTGTCATGTTTGTTTCTGACCAGGAGAAAATATGTAACAGAGGGGTTCTGACATTCTTGTTCTGAGTCAATGATCTAAAAAGCATTGAAGCCAGTAGATCAGCACTGCAGTCAGACTGCTGGAATTTTTTAGGAAAAGATCCAGTGATGGCAGCTTTCATCATGAAAATCTGTTTCTTTAAAAGCATTAAACAACCAAATGCTCAGATTTTAATGCTCTTTTTTCCCCCCTGTGTGTATGGTTACTCCACCTTAGCATGTTATTTGAGCTCTAGTAATGTGATAGGAGCTTTGCAGGCTCTGTCTCAGCATGAATTGAGCAGTCATTGTTTTAGTTTAGGTGTGTGTGCACAAATGTGGTGTAACGATGTCCATTCTTTGTGGGGAAAGAAGGTAAGTGATAATATTTAATGTTTGTATCAGCTGTTTTAAATCCATACCCTGCTTATTAGTCTAGGTTCATATCTATGCGTTTTTGTATGAGTTCTTTAGCGTGGGCACAGCAGCCTATTAATTTGAATGGGCTGCTGTACCAACTGAAAAGGAGAGGGAAAAGTTCCCAACAGTTTTTCCAAAATGCACCCGCAGGGTAACTGCACAGAACTACACCATGCGGTTTTCCACAGCTGAAAATGTGCTGTGTTTCTGATGCATGGGGGTGCCATTAAAAATGAATGGCACCCCTGCGTGTCTGCTAATCAGCAGCTTGTTTTTTCTGGGGTTCAAGAACTGGTGCGATTTTTGTGCATCGGTTTCAAACCCACATATGTTGTAAACCTAGCCTTAGATTAAACTTGTTTAATCTGAGTTTGGAGGATTCTGAATGCTGTACTATATCATTGCGACTGCCTTTCTCCCCACCACAGGTTTTCTTCACAAGGAATGGAAAGATTATCGGCAAAAAGGAGTCCATTCTGCCTCAGGGCGGCTTCTATCCAACCATAGGAATGCTGAGCAGTGGGAGAAGGTGAAAGTGGACCTCCACCCACTGAGTGGGTGACCATGTGAACTACACGGGAGAACACGCTGCATTCTTCAGTCATCTTCCCCTTCTACCAACCATCTGGTCATGCACGATTTGCACGTGGGCTTGTGATAGTGCTTCTTCGTGTCTGGAAACGTGTCTCAGTGGCCCTTGCCTGTGATTGTCGGCTCCACGCCTTTAAGTTTTGGCATAGCAGGAGACGTGATGGGACAGGAAACAAGAGTGAATGTAGAGGAACCAGATTTTTTTTTAACAAATACAAAAAAAAATGGTTTCCTGATACACACTAGGAAGACTACCAGCTGTAAGATGAATGTAGATTTGCCCAATCCCTAGTTCCTTGAATATGTGGCATTCTGATTTATGGCATTTAGCTGGACGATGGCAATGAGGAACTGCCAGCAAAATGTCTCTAAATACCTAGTTGAAAAGGAAATTCTTTATGCAGGTCAAAAAAGGTAACCTATTTTCAACTGCAATTAGCTGTCAGCCTGTAGTTCAGCTGTAAGCCTGGCAAAGTCCATTAAAGAATCAGTCCGCCCTAAACTGATCCATTTTTTGGGAAGTCAAGTGGGCTTTGTCATTTGCAGGCATGCCCTATTCCAGGGGACTTTTAGCAGCAAGATCTTGCCGATACAGTCCTAGGCTCTGTTCTCACCCATTTTGACCTGTCACTCCTTCTATTACAATCATGTTCCTAATCTTGATTTGCATTCCTCACAATATATCGAAACCCAGCAGGGAAAGCAGGCCTTTGCAATGCAGGGGCACAGAAATGGAAAACCAGGTATTCAGATCTCACCACTGAAGACCATTAAGGAACTGTATGGTCATTTAAAGGCAAGCTGTCTAGTGGGAAACATGGAAGTTTCCTTAAAATGCTGGCTGCCTCCCTTTCATGCCGAGTCACTGACCCAGCACCACAATGTTAAGACTTCTGATGTTCCCAGTCAGTAAATATTAGTAAAATATTGAAAGTTTATGGGTTAGCACAGCCAAGCATTTAGGTGTTCGTCAACAGCAGCCCTTGTATTTAGTCTTTCAGCATCTACCAAATGCTAAAATATTGGCTTTGGGTGGACTAGCATAAGCCTGTGAGGAAGTTGGAAAGTGAATAGCGAAGGTATAGACAGGAGATTAGGGAGGGTTGTTTCTATCTCCAATAGATGGGTCCCAGTCCTGCACCAATCCACTAAGTGGGACCACAGACACTTATTCTTCAGGGTGAGCAGCCTAGTTAGGCTGCATAATCTTATGATGAATGGAGAACTGGAAGGTTTTCTTTCTATATAATAGCCAAAGATTTCTGGCTACCTCCATTCAGTGCATACTTATTACACAGAGCACTTCCATAAACATTCACAGGGCTGGGTATATATTTCCTGTACAGTTCATGGCACTTGACAGATCAAAGCCTCAGCTAGACATGTAAGGTTTTATTTGGTAAGCTTCTGAAGGTGTGCTGAGTACACCACATAGAAATTTACAGTAATCTCCAAATAGCTATCTTGCCTAGAAGGAAACCAGCCACATATATAAGACTGTCGGTGTATTTTGGTTGTGTATGCTGTGATGATGCTGCATAAATATTGTGTGTGTGTGTGTGTGTGTGTGTGTGTGTGTGTGTGCGTGTGCGGCCCGTCTCTTTTCTCCGTCATTTAAATAATGGTAGCCAATCAGTATTGCCGACTGGCTGAGCGGTATTTATGGCTCTGGTTGGCACGCAGGTAACCCTTTGTCACAGGCCAGCTTCTAGCGGTTTTAGCACTTATTTCTACTCTTGTACATCTTATTGTGTTTACATGACAATATATTCTGTTGTCTCTTCTCACTTTTTGCATGGTTTGAAAAGTATGAGAAACACATGTGATTCCTTATTTATATTTAATATGGCATAACTACCTCTATTTCTGCTGCTAAATCTCTTGTACTCTCGTGTCCTGCCGATTGTTGGCTTGGGCTACACACAGGGTTCTTGGTTTGTCTGGTAATGTAGTCCTGTTTGGAATGGTCTTTCAGCATCTGCTCAGTATGATTGGCCGGTGTAATGATCTCGTGGCTAACTTCATGGTCTTGTGAAGTTTGTTTTTTGTTTTTTTTTTTTTTTTTTTTTTCCGTTTCGTTCTTGGATCTTGCATATTTCTCTGCTTCCTCAGTTGTCTTCACAAAAGCGTAACTGGTGCACTATTTTCATTGTTTTGTTTAATTCTGATGATCAGATTGTTTTGTTGTCTATAGAGGAGGCCATAAAATAAAGATAAATAAAATGGGGGAACAGCCTTAAAGAATTGGTTCACCTTTGGAATATGTTGCATGTTCCACCCATATTTAGGGTGAAACATGTAACATGTTTCAGCTTCTGCCTCCTCTCCCCCTGATCGACCCCCTCGTTACAGTGGGAGAGGGATGTTCTCCCTGCACCCACTATCGGTGTTTAAAAACATTGGAGCTCTGCCCACAAGGCAGTATCATTCATTACCTGGAGTCTTGTGAATAAATGAACTACAAGTAGCATTAGCTGCCACGGCTAATGGCTTGTAATTCTTAGTGAACTATGAAAGTGCTGGTGAGTGCTCTCATAGTTCATTGATTCTGCTTGCAGTTCAGCAACTCCGCAACAATGCTTTGCAGGCTTCAGAGTGAAAAAAAAAATGCACTTTTTTTTAAATTTGCAAATAGATGTGCATTTTATTATTTTTTTTTTTTTTTTTTTTTTTTTTTAAATAAAAGTTGAACTTATTTTATTAATAACAATATTCATTAATAGGATAATTCCTATGCCTTAGTGAAGTGGCTCTTCCGTGTGAACTCCGCTCATGGATTATGATGGAGTGTGTGTTGGGAGACATGCAAGTATTACATTCTGCAGTGTCTGATTGGCGGGCAGTCTCACAATGCACATCTTGTAACTTGCATAACCCTGTGCTATGCTCACAGAAACTCTGATGACTGGTAGTAAATTAATTCACACCACAGAACTTGTGTGTATCTTCTCACATAAGCTGCAGAATCATGCAGTATTTACTGCAAAAGGACCCATAGTCTGTGGATTAATTTCCAGTGTAATGTCTATGGGAATAGGTAATCGCACTTGCTCTGATTATCAGGCCATCTGATGAGTTTAAAAACTTTGATTGAATGAAAAGAAACGGTGCTGCGCTTCTTATCCTGAAAATTAGTAAACAATCCCCATAAAGGCAAAAAATATAGTGAAAAAAAAACCTGCTGCACTACTGATACATAAGTGAGTGAACAATCACATAAAACAAAAAAACAATCCGCATAGAACCATATGACTTGTGTGCAAAAGAAAAAAAATCCCAACAAATGTGAATCCTCAATAAGTGTCACAAGTGGCAACAAAGATATCAGTAGTGCAGCATTTTCTTTCACTGTATTTTTTTGCTTTTTATGGGCATGATTTACTCACTTTTAGGATAAGTAGCGCAGCACCATTTCTTTTCATACATTTTTTTCACTATTTGATTATAGTTAAGTGTTAGCAGCCACTTAGGTTTGTTTTAGTATATCTGGCAGCGCAGGAGGCCTCTCTTTTTTTTCTTTCTTGTTAAAAACTTTGATTGCTGCTTTCCCCAAGATAAGCCAGTTATTAGGCTGTTTGCAGAGTCAGATCTCCTAAAACAGGAACATTGTGTACCCTGAGCAGCACAAGCTGTGCCTGTTCTTTGATGTCTATGGCCAGTTCTAATCACAAGAAAGTGAGTGAAAAAAAAAATGCATCTCAAAGCAATGCACGTTGGAAATGACTTACAGATGCTAAAAAAATGCCAAAACACAGTAGAGAATGCACTGTAATAATAAAGTGCACCTCTTCATGAATCTTCCTGTGTGGAAGAAGACTCTTCCTTGATCTGGGAATTCTAATGCTGACTGGAAGAGAATGGTGAGGGGGGTATTTATTCATTTTTGAGTTGACTTTACTGATTGATAATCAGAAGAATTAGACATGTAGTTTGAGTTGCATATTTACCTTATATTTGCACTTTTCCTTATCTCTTATGAAAAGTTCGGCCTGTATCTGGATGTACGGTGTGACATTTGTAAACTTTGGGAACATGTACCTCCTTCCTTCTCTTACAAGTAGCTGTAGGTAAGCAGCTCAGATGGCCTGTGTCCTCTTACAAGGCTAGGAAGATTCTGCGTGGTGTGATGCACCTCGGTAGCACATGCTCCTTTCATTGCTGGGAAACATTCCATGTGGATATTATTACCATATCTTCACTAGACTGCACACTTCATGCTTTTCCCTACCTCAATTGGAATACATGGAGTGTCTGTCTATGTTTGTCTTTTATTTTATGAAAGACATATAGTGCAGTTTATAGTGTGTCTTTAGCCAGTAATATCCATGATGTGAGCCTACACCTACTCTAGTAATCAGAGTAGTTACTATAGGGCTGTGCCTTGTCGACTGTGATCTCCTGTTTTCAGTATACATTAAAGGCTAAGTTCACTGTTTGGAACATATTACACCTGTATTTAGGGCTAACACATTCCTAAGCATCGCCCCCACCTGCCTGTGACTGTGTGCAGGGGTTCTTCTCCCCTGCAGCTGCTGTCACTTTTAAAATTGGCAGGCTATGTGGGGCTCCACCTGCACAGCCACATCATTCTTTAAATGAATGAACTGCTAGTCCTGTCTGCCACCACAGCATATGGAGTATGAATGCAGTAATCTGTGCACTCGTACTCCATTGACATGTCCTCCAAGTCTGAAAGCCTGTACAGGGGTATGGGAGGAAGAGTGTGCAGGAGCCTGAGCTTTGCAAGCTCCTGTGGGGAAAAAATAATACGTCCACATGTTTTTGCATGAAAAACAAAACGTGTATTTATTTATTTTTTTCTTAAAAGTGAACTTGGCTTTTAAAGACCACTCCCATGATGCAATGCAGCGTACACTGTACAGAACATGGAAGACTGTATTAGTCGGTGTTCTGGTGAAGGAGATGGACACGCAGCTGGGGATTTGTGCATTAGCTGATTCCACATTACAA